GGTTAGATACAAGTGTGAAGGGAGAGGCTATGTATGGTGATGACCCTGTAGTACTAACTGATCTTAAAAGTGAACTGGACTATGTAAAGAATCTCATGGAGACACGTGCAATAGAAGATACAACTTTCACTGAGGGTAATGATGGTACAGTGAACATTTCAGGTCCATCAGGAAGTACAACTGTCCCGGAAGTCAACTTTGTGGAAGACCCAAACAGTGTACTTCCAGACGTGCTAGATGCATTCAACGAATCATTTGACGCTGACTGGGATGAAAGAGAAGCCCGCCTAGAGAAACTAAATAAGATTTCAACAGAAAATAAAAAGAGAGATTTTGAAAGCCAAGTGGAGCGTGTTCAAGCTGTCACAAGAGTTATTAAGAATAAGGAGGGACTGATACTAGATCCTAGGAATAGATACGTCAGGGAACTCATCAAACGATCATCTGTAAGAACACTCAAGGATGGCACAGAGGTGTTGGTGTTTAGAAGTGAACAAGGTATTAATAAAAGTGGGACACAAATAATGAAACGTGGTTTTTCCAACAAACCTACGTACTCAAAGGCCTCACCTGCACTGAGAGAATACAAGGACCTTCTAAAGAAAATAAAAGAGGTACCTACAGATCCTGACGACATAATTGAAAGTGAAGAGCTGCAATTTGATGACATTTATGAGGAATACGCTGACGGTGAAAACATTGAGTTAATAGACATAAGTGCAAGGCTAGGAGACCTTTCTGGGTTAACAATGCAAGAAAACAACGACCTAAGAGGAGTGCTTAACCCACCTGATGGATCAAGTATAGAAGGTAGAACAGGTCCCAATGGGGCGTTGCAAATTCAGGCTGACTACTTTAATGAAGCTATTAATGAAACAGTGAGACGAGCCGGCTCAGCGAAAGGTACAACTGAGTATAATTCCCTTCTAGAAAGAATTGACAGTTTGAAGGAAGCTAGAGATAGGACACTAGAGCAGAGAGTAGTAGAGGAAGCAAGAGAGGCACAGTTGGAAGACATTAGTAGATTACGTAGATTTATAGACTGGGTAGGGAAGGAAAAAGTGGGACTTGTAGGGATTGCAGTGTCAACAGCTAGTTTAATTACAGCATTATTAATCCATGCTAGGGGAGCCATTATTAAGACAGCAAAGGCCACTGGTAAAGTAGCAAAAGCACTAGCAAATTTAGCAAAGAAAGCAGGGCCAGTTTTAGTTCCAATCCTGAACACCATTGCAACTGCGCTATCATGGGGAGCAAAGGGAATTGCTTGGTTGGCGTCACACTTATGGGTATTAGCTATAGCTGCAGCCTTAATGGCATATAATTATTACACAAAGTAAATTAGCTATGGAGGAACATCAGGAGGAATATGATGACCAGAGAATGGAGAAGTTGCGGGAAAAGTATCCGAACTATGAAGAAATGGATATAGAAACTTTAGATGGTGAATTACTATACCTTGATAAGGATCTTAGGGAAAGTGAAACTACTGAGGAGACCCAGGATATTAACGAGGAAATCAATTACATACTCGAACTGAGGAGGAGGAGAGAAATACCAAGTGAAGACCTTACACGAGAGCAATTAGATGAGAAATTCCCTGACCTATCTAATCTGTCATACAATGATTTAATGGATAGGGGAGACAGACTGTTAAATGAATTAATACTATCCGATTTGGATGAAGACAGTTTCAAAGAAAAGTCGGAAGAACTGAGGTACGTCAGAATGCTATCAAATGATTACCAAAGAGAGTCAAATCTAAATAAACTTCTCAACTTAAGAGACAAAGTGAAAAAGAGGGATCTCATCAAACGGGATGATCATAGGAGACTGCAGAGGCTCAGGTTATGGGCAAGGGAGAATGCAGGCATTTTATCAGCTGTTCTAATTTCATCATCAGCTATAATCATAGGACTGGTAGCTTCAACTAGAAACATATTATGGAAATTAGGTGACACAACAGGAAAACTCGATAAGCGGATTAGCGAGTTGGCAAACAATCAAATAGAACTACCACCTGTATTCCAGAAGATAGCCGATGGAGTAGAGTTGGCAGCGGATAATATATGGGTAATCATTATATGTGCAGCAGCAGTCTTACTTTACTGGTACAGCTAAACATTACATATTGTATACAAGTATGAATACCACAGAAAGAGAACTACGGCCTGGATTCAGGAGGAGCCATATGACATCCATAAAAGGACCTAGAACCCTAAATGTTACGACATTTAACCCTACAACTATCAGCCCAGGTGAAGAGCTGTACATTAACATTCCTAAGCTAAAGCCTGACTCTTGTTTAGTTCCAGGATCACTTGCACTATTATTTGACTTCAAAAATTCCAATACAAAAAGCCACTTTAATAATAACCTGTCTAAGTTGATAGCTAAACGTCTTCAGATTAAAGTAGCTGGTGAAACAGCTTATGACTGTTCGGGAGAGAGTTTGTATGAAATATACAAAGATCTATGGCTAACACTAGGTGATAGAAAGAAGATGACTGAACAGGGTCTTGCAAGTGAGAATCTCAGGAAGTTAATATCAGGTGATGACTCAGGCACTAAGGTTGGTGATGCTAATAAAGTAGCAGATGGACTTATCCACAGTGTGTATGGTTCTAAGTTGAGAAAACCAATTGATAAAATAATTGCAGACCATGGTCTATACACTCCATTTTACATGAACAACAATCCTATGTACATCCTCACACTCCCGCAATCAGATGAGATTATGACTGCCCAAGGAGGTGAAGCTAAGGGTAATTATAAACTTGATAATCTTGAGCTAGAATACGAGACCATTGAGAATGACGCCCTTGCTGGTGAAGTCACACGGATGTATTCAACAGGTCGCTCACTGTCCTACAAACATGTCACACTAATGCGCACAAGTAATTGGGACAAGGATCTTACCATTGTCAATGAAAACATTAATATACCCAGAAAGAGCATGTCAGCAATTGTCCTTCTATTTACCAATAGAGTGAGGACTGATTCTGAAGAATATATTTACCCAAACATTGATAAAGTGAACCTGACCATTGAAGGTGTTCCTAATGCAGTCTTCTCCCAAGGACTTCCTAAAAATAGGTTCTTCGAAGAGGCAAAACGATTTTTCTGCCCTATGTGTGAGAAATCCATGGCAGACGAATTTATGTCCATCAGTAAGTTCTTCAGCAATGGTTTCGCTCTAGCAATTGATCTTAGGTCAACACAGGATGATACCACTGGTGGAGGAAGGAGAATTGTTAACACACAGTCAGGCGTACTCATGGAAATCAAAAAGAGAGCCACAACAGCTGACGTTCAATGCAATATTTTTATTGTATCAGATGCCCTCCTTAACTTTGCTAATAAAGATTTATCAAGTATTCAATACTAGCTTGTACCGACTACGTCAGTAGACGCTGCTAGCGCAGCTAGTACTAACGGTAAAGCATAGAGATGAATCTAGAGCCACCATTCAACATGCTCATAGTAGGAATGACAGGAAGTGGTAAGACTCAGTTCTTACTAAATATGTTAGAAACGGAATACAATAAAGTTTTTGATTACATTGTTATTATATGTCCAACAATAGAATGGAATATGACTTACATTAATTGGGCTTATATTAGTGATCACGGAGTTATACAAATTCCATGTTCACAAGAAATGATCAATCTAGTTCTGAAGGCAGCGTCCACCATATTTCGTGGAACTCAAACTCTCATTATAGTGGACGATTGTGCAGCAAGTCAAGATGTAAAGAAAAGAGTCTCAGAACTGGTGCGTCTAGCTTTCTCCGCAAGACATTACAACTTATCTGTTATTGTAATTACTCAACAACTGTCATCAGTAGCGAAACCATTCAGGGAGAACATTTCCAGGTTAGTTACATTCTACAACCCTAGTCGCAGGGATATGAAGGTCATAACAGATGATTACCTAAGTGGTGTCCCTCAGGAGACAATTGCGGAGATAACACAGATACTAAAAGATGAAAAGTTCACCGCACTGGATATACTACTTATACACCCTTACACATACACCATCAAACAAAACATCACGTAGGATATAAAAGATGGGATCTGAATCTGATGAAGAAATATCTGCAGCTGTGAGGGAAGTAGAAGAGGCCGCAAAGGCACCGCAAAAGAAAGCTAAGTCTACCGCAAGAAAAACCGCAGAAAAGTCGCAAACTGAAAGTAAAAGAGACAAGCTTATAGAGCTATCCAGGGATGGTGTGATAGAGAAGTCCGCAAGTTTTATAAGAAAGTCCAACAAGGATGTTGTGGATAGACTATACCACGAGTATGAAAGTCAGAGGATGTCATGTGCAAGTGACTTCTTATCAACTCTTATTATCTCAAAGTTTGCTTCTATACTAGGGAGTTTCGGTGCAGTGGAATCATCAGATAAGCTATCAGAGGAACTACTTAGTGATAAACTTCTAAAGGATGACGTATCATATCTAACAAGAACGATATCCCCCAACATTCCGTTCATAGGTTTAATATCAGGTGGTTGTACAACAGCTAAGCATGTTGTTGCGCATAAGTGGAACAAGAAGGAGGAACCTAAGGAAATATCTGAGGAGGCTAAACATATCTTATTAAATACAGAAGAAGAATGTCAGAATACGAATGGGAAAACGCTTGGGAAGGAACAGAGTCTGAAGATATAATTATTGAGTTGATTGAGAAAACTGACAGGAATAGGGAAAGTCTAGATGTGATTCAAAAAACCCTTGACTCATTAGAGAAAGACTTATACGCGCTCAAGGATAAGGTCATAGAACCACTTCAGTATGATTTCCAGACATTTAAGACTGATACGATAAAAACAGTTGTAAATATATACAAGAAACTTCATGAAACATAGTTTTTAAGAATGGAATGAAAACGCATACAAGAAGCAGTTGGGCGGGAAAGAGGGAATGCTGCTTCATAAATGAGATTTAAATGTCTTATAAAATAGACCCAAATATTTTTACATATATAGTATAGGGAAAGATGGAAAAACTATTCAGAAACCAGAAGTTGAATGTTAGTGTAAGAACTGTTTAGAGTGGTGAGGAGGTACTGTTTTACGCAAAAGACGTGGCAGAATCTCTAGGGTACTCGAACACGAAAAAAGCTATTCAAACTCATGTATGGAAGCTAAACAAGACAACACTTGGAGAACTTAGGGTGGGACCCAATTTGGGTCCCACCCTAAATGGTCAACCAAATTCAGTTTTCCTAAGAGAACATGGTTTGTACCAACTAATATTCAACTCAAGACTTCCAATAGCTGAGGACTTCCAAGACTGGGTTTTCAGAGAAGTCCTCCCATCTATCCGCAAGACGGGCTCGTATAATTTACCAGATAGAAGGTCACTCAGATATAACCAAATAATCCTTATAAATGAAACGGACCTTCACCACACCATCGTGAGTTACATTAGAGATAACTACCCAGAGGCTGTAATAGTACCTGATCTAGGTGAGTATCAGGACACAGTGTCAAAGAGATGTGATGCCTGGAAGAAGGGATACAAAGGTGGCCAGCCGGATCTTATTATAGAGAATCCCATGGGGAGGTATAAAGGATTTGCCATTGAATTTAAGTCTCCCAAGGGCACTGGGACTGCAAGCGAGAAGCAGGTAGTATGGCTTGGAAAACTGAGGGAAATAGGATACATGACAATGATATCAGACAACCTAGTGAAAACTTGTATTAGAATTAATGAGTACTTCTCACTTAAGAAAACTGTAAGGAAAGTTGCAGTGAAAATTACCGCTAGCGGTGTGAAGATGTACAGACCAAAGTTTAAATCAGATAAGTACTAGCAGTGTATACTAACGCAGTCGGTAGTAAGTTATCTCACCAGTAGATTTGCGACATCTCACAAGTAAATTTAAGTTATCTCACCAGTTATCTCACCAGTAGATTTAAGTTATCTCACCAGTAGATTTGAGACATCTTACAAGTAAATTTAAGTTACCTCACAAGTAGACTCTAGATGTCTCATAAGATAAAACCCAGTTAAACCTAAGGTATCTTACAAGTAGAATGGAAGATAAACCTGAGCAAACTCAAGTAGTAACAAGTGAAAAGAAGAAAGACCCAAAAAGAGTAGCTGCAGGAAAACGGTTAGCTGCAATCAGCAGAATAGCAAAGGAGAGGAAAAAGAAACTTGCAGAACCTGAGGAGTCATCCAGCAACAACACGATCGCATATGTAGGAGTGGTCATCGCATTGGTATCCCTTGCTCTAGCATTCAATCAGCATCAGAGGGAAACAGAGAAACCAGAACCTAAGTACATCCCTGAAACTGTAGAAGTAACCAGGAAAGCTGATGCGTCTAAGTTAGATTCACTTGAATGATACGTTAAACATAATATATATTATAGCAAGATGAGTAAAGAATCAAAGATGACCGCGGAAGTGTACAACGCAGTGTTACTTACAGCAGGAGCAGTTGGTATATCAATGGCATCGAAGAAACTATTGAAAGAACCGTTAGGCACCCCAGAGAACGTAAAAGGAATGGCAAAGTTAGCTATTTCAGTTAGCCTTTCATCTCTACTAGTCTCTTACCTGAAAGAAAAGAAGTATATACCAGATGATCCATTCAAAACCTAGGTAAAACTATACAATGGCGGGAGCAGTAGCAGGAGGACTATTTAACGCATTCGCATTTGCTGGAGCAGGATACCTATTTAAAATGTTTGACAAGAATGGATACGCTGAGGAAGCCCACAGACACAACATTGCAATGGAGAACCTAACAGCTGAAAGAGAGAAGTACCTTGAAGAAGTCACCGATAGAAGAAACAGACTTGCGCAACTTAAGGCCGAACTAGCTGAGGCGAATAGGGATATTAACGCAACAAATAAGGCATTGGAACTCATCAGGAGAATCAACGAGCTAACACGTACAGCTATGCCAAGAAAGCCGCAACTAAGTAACCACTACAAACCTAGCTCAGAGATGGAAGAATATATGGCAATATTTGGTTTAATTATAGGTGGGGTGGTTGGAGGGGCAGCTTATTTAATACTGTAAAAATATTAATTTAATACGGCAATAAATTTTTACATATATATTGTAGAGAAATGGACTGGCTTGCAATGGTAGACGTTGACGAGGTGGTAGCCCTTGGTAAAAGGGTAGACACTATAGAGGAGTTGGAGGCCGCGGTTAAAAAATATGTAGAACTGAGAATAATAAGGAGACGTAAAAACAGACAACAAAAACAAGCAGAATATTTTAACACATATAGTATAGGGAATGGACTGGCTGACACTGGTAACACCTGATGAAATGGAAAGAGTCGGTAGGAGAGCAAAAAACATTGAGGAGCTGGAGGCCGCAGTAATGAAATACGTGAGAGGTAAAATGAAGGTTGTACATACATACGAACCGGAATGTGTTGAATGTGGTAGTAAGTCTATTGTAATAATAGATGGAGCAGATGTATGCACACAATGTGGTACAAGTGATAGGAATGGCTTTACATACTATGTTAGTTACAACCACAACAAGGACGACTACCTGAAAAAGAAGTCTTGTCATAACAGAGTCCGTTGGTTTGAGAGACACTTATTAGAGCATGTTGCTTCAGGGGATAGGGATACCATACGGGAGCAGTTTAGAAGCATCGTAAGATGCATACAAAGACTTAGACTGCAACGGGGGCGCAACATAGTTAGATATAAGTTTTACCTACTGAGGATAGCCAGCATGAACAACATCACGTTAAGAAACCCTCCTGAGGACATTAAGACCAAAAGAATTGTGGACATCCTTGAGAATAGGTTATATGGCAAAGTCTTCCCCGAGGTGGGATGGAAACCTATAAATTGTAAATATTATAATAACTGGAAATTAAAGAATAAATTATAAATTAAACAAAATATAAAATTATTAAATTACATAAAATATTAAATTATTAAATTAAATAAAATATTAAATTATTAAATTAAATAAAATATTAAATTATTAAATAAAATGTTAAATAAATTAATGAATTAAATAGCCCCTTAATTGGGGCTATTTTTTTACCTATAGTATATAGAGAAAGAGTGAAAAATGGCGAACAACTTTGACATGAACGACATGACCGTTGAACAACTTATGGCACTTAGTGAGATAATCGATGACAGCGACTATGAAGGAAATCTTGAGGACGAAGTGGAGAAAATCTCGGAGGATAAGTTCTACCGCGTTGCACCTAAGGACAAGGGAGAGAACGTCCACGCGGAAGAGAAACTATTCATTGACGAAGGTGATAGAGCTTCGGATCCTAAGAGGCCAAGAAGACTCCCACTGAACTACAAGGGTAAGAGAGGAATAATGCCAACATGGAAATATTCCGAGAGGCAGAAGGCAAAGGCCTTACTAGTCGAGGAGGCATATCAGAGCTTACTAAGTAGAGGAGTTGAAGGTCTACCACCAACAATGGGAGGTAGATGGAGAACGGACGATCCTCAGGTAAACGCGGAGATGAAGAGGCTCGAAAACCTCAGGAATCCCAAGCGTCCTAGAGGCAGACCACCAAAGGTCAAGGTTGACGGTGAAGTAACCCCCAAAAGAAGGGGTAGACCACTAAAGACCAAAGAAGTTAAGGTTGCCAAAAGGAGAGGTAG